AGCTTACCCAGCGTGCCTTTCTCTGCGTTGGACAGGCACAGGTCCTTTTCGGCGGAGGGCAGAACGAACGCCACCACGAAGCACTCCACGCCGTCGGCCATTAGCGCCAGGCCCAGAACCAGGAACAGCGTCCACTGGAACCGCCCGTGGCCGCAGTCCTCCATGATGTCCTCGTACTGCTGCGCCAGCTCCTCCAGATCGCTCAGCCCGCCGCCCTCCGCCCCGGCCCGCGCCCTGGTTAGCATTCGGCCAGAATTAGTCACGTTAGCATAGCATGCTATCACATATGTAATTACAGATTGTCTTATTTCCTTATAGAACTATATTTTGAAGGTCAATTTGTTTAAATGAGCCGGATAATCAAAGTTATTTCATTACAGGAGCTACTGGAAACCAGAATATCTGTCAGGACTTTGGCTAAAATGACTCACTTTAGCATAGCATGCTATCACATGATCTGTGTAAATCACTCATATTTTGTGTTGAGGTCTCTGGCTGTTTAGGAGGTTTCCCTGTTTCAACACACCTGATTCACATCACAGAGCCATTAGCAGACCGGTGCAAAGCTAAAAAATGTCCAGATTTTGGCTATAATTACTCAGTTTAGCATAGCATGCTAACACATGATCTATGTAAATTACTGATTACTGACTTATAGAACTATATTTTGAAGGTCGATTTGTTTGAATGAGCCGGATAATCAAAGTTATTTCGTCACAGGAGCTACTGGAAACCAGAAGATCTGTCGGGACTTTGGCTAAAATTACTCACTTTAGCATAGCATGCTATCACATGATCTATGTAAATCACTGATGTTTTGTGTTGAAGTCTCTGGCTGTTTAGGAGGTTTCCCTGTTTCAACACACCTGATTCACATCACAGAGCCATTAGCAGACCGGTGCAAAGCTAAAAAATGTCCAGATTTTGGCTATAATTACTCACTTTAGCATAGCATGCTATCACATGATCTATGTAAATCACTGACTGTTTTATTTTCTTTTACAACTATATTTTGTGTTGAAGTCTCTGGCTGTTTGGGATGTTTCCCTGTTTCAACACACCTGATTCACATCACAGAGCCATTAGCA